AAGCTGTAAATTTCAATACAACGTCGCGATGTTTTATAATTAATTCATTTGTTTGACTGGAGTCTCACTCTCAATTCACACCGCGATGCTGCCAGTGTAAGTGTAAAAACGGAACACACCTAGATCACATGTCAATTCAATGAAAACGTACTTATTTATAAATGTAGATATGAAAATATTTTATAACTAAAAAAATGGTTGTTTTATTGCCAAAACGGCTTGAAAAAAAAGTTGATTTCTAAAATAAAAAATAAAAAGCAATTTTAAAAATAAAATAATTATATTACACTCTTTTTCATTTGAAATTGTAAACAATATTTGGATTAATAAATGTATTTAAGTATAAATTTTATAACTCAAATAATACCTAATGAACACAAACAAAATTGATATTAATAAAACATTATTTATTATCTGCACAAAACCGGACTTTCAGGAAAAATCGGTATACGGAGCAACACTATCGGCGTACCATATACGCTACTATAAACCGCTGAGGAGAAGTGGAACTATAAATCCAGTGGAACAAATAAATTTGTTATAAAACATCGCGACGTTATAAAGAAACACTGGTTAATTGCAACGCAGAGATAGAGAATCTTAGTATTTGTAAAAAATCCTATGTTCCGGATTTAAAATTCCAAATGTGTATAGTAACTGCCACTGCCAAACGTTAATATGATATACATACTATATAAAAATGAATCACTAATACATACCCAACGTATATACAACATATATACAAAAGCAAGACCGGTTTTCATACGTGCGTAGATGACGTTAATAAAATAACTATAACTTATATTCTAGTGGGAATTTCTTTATAAAATTTTAGGAGGGAGTTTTTGAATGTAAATGGAAGCGATTTATAAAAAAAATTAAAATTGATATTTTGAAAGTTCCGCATGAGACTGTCCCCTTAAATATTTACTAAAATATATAATGTACCTGTACAATATATAGCTGTTATTAAGATTCAGAAATATAATGAGTATAAAAGAAATATATTATAAGATTAACTTCAGTTCGGCTAATGCATGGACGTATAAATAAAGATGGACTAGGCATGATCTGCACTCTGTTCACCTAAATTTGAAGTCGAAAAGTTTGTAGGCGCGGGGAAAGAGACGAGGTGATAGACTGTGACTTACCCTTTTAAGCCAGCGGCGTACCTTTCAATATTTGAAAGTTATTTGAAACAGTTTTTTCCACTTGAATAAATAATGACTATTGGTTTGATTGCTTTTATTTTTAGTATCGTAAACATATGAAATATTTTGAATAAGTGAGAAACAACAAACGGTGAATAATTTTAATTTTCAGTGTATAGAAATATATTTATAAAAATTAATTTACACAAAAGAATAAAGATGGAGTAAATAAAATCGTAAATTACTTTATATAATATTTTATTTAAACTAAAATAACACACAAACAATAAAAAGTTTAAAAAATTCTTCCCCACACATTAACCTGTTCAGGGTATTGAATATGTTCTTCTCTTATCCAGTTAGTGATAAGTTAAAAAAATATAGTAAATTATGGTATATAAATCCAGCTTAATTGTTAATTGGCAACATTAGTATGTCACCTTAAACATAGCAGTAAACAGAAGAAAGATAAAAATTCAGAAATATGTATTTAAGAAAATATTAATAAACGTAATAAAACCATAAACCATTGTTTAACAAAACATAAACAACAAACCACATATACAACAATATATAAAACACATTAAACCTTATGGAACGGGTAGGGTTCAAAAATAGAAATAGCTTTATTCTCACTTAAAATTATACAATTTCATGGACAAAGCTTACAAAAATTAAAAAAAAAACAACAATAACAATTAAAATTTAGTAAAATTACAAAAATCGTCAATATCACAAAATAAAAGATAGTAAAATATAGAATTCATTGCAAAATCTAACTGTTGCATAATAAAACCTTACGAAGTAGTTTGAGAATAAGTTTTAGGTTGCTGCATGTGATACCCAAATATATATATATATATATATATATATATATATATATATATATATATATATTAAACGTACTGTATTTTCTTTTAGTTACTCGTTAAGAAACTCTTCCACTGAATAATATCGTCTTTCAGATAGATAGGTTTTTGTCATGTTATGGAACTTAAGGATAGAATTTGTAAGTTACAAAGGGAGAAATTGTATAATTTTTTTGCCGGATATAATAGATTTCTTTACTAAGTCAGTGGACGGGATCGATAATTACACAGGTTGAATTTCTGGTGGAGTATGGTTTAGATTGGGTCTTGTTGGAAAAATATGTAGGTATTTACCAATTAAGAAAACAGTTTCTAGAATATACGAAGAAGGAAGAGTAAAAATCCCATGATTTTTGAAGTAGCTTCTACAATGTGTTATTCTTGTAAGTCCAAAAAGATACCGTATTGCTCTTTTTTGTAATTTAAAAATAACATTAGATTGAGCAGCTGTACTAGAACCGCCATTTCGTAGATGAGACTCGAACAAAGAAAAATATGTTATTGGAAGATGCTAAATTGATTTCCTTTAAAACCGATCTTATGGCATAGCAGGCTGAGACTAGTTTCTTACTTAAATCGATATACAGGAACTATTTAAAGTTGTTGTCTGTAAAAATGCCATGAAATTTTACAGAATCAACGATACTGATCCGGCTATTATTAAGAATCAAGGGTTGAAGAGCTCCTTTATAGGATAATGCTACTGTCTTATTTCTTTATTTTCCATATCGTTTGTGGAACTGGAACATTGAATTAATAAAAAAAAAAGAAAAAAGGCATGCTATCAATATTATGGAATATGCTACGAGTATGCATTATATTTTTGATTAAATTTAATTTTCGTACAATGAACATAACCTATAGATATGTTTGACTTTAAATGTAAGCTTAATATACGTCAGTGTTACCATATACTCAATTATTTCACACTCTTACATATAAAACTATGGGCAAGATTTATATTATATGAAACATGGACGTATATCTTTATTTATACGTCCATGATATGAAATGAAAATTTAAAATTGAAAAATACATATATAATTAAACAAAAACGTGAAAAATACATATATAATTAAAAGCATTAAAATTATACCTATAAATATTATAAAATAAAATTCTTGCATTATTAAATATCTTGCATTTCTTCATTGAAAAATACTTATATAATAAAAACCATTAAAATTATGCTTAAGGTAAAAATTAATAGTTTACGAAACTTTAAAAACTACAGAATAAAGTAAAGTTAAATGAAAATAAAAAAAATAGATCAAACAAAAGAATACACTATATATTTAGCTATATTTAAAGTAAAAAATACTATTTTATGAATGCTTTTTAATATGAATTCAAAAATTGTGGCTTCTCATAACAAAACATTATATAAAAATTAATGGGAAAATCACAGTAGTTGGCTGTATACTATCGTTTAAAAAACTTATACAGAAGTAAAAAACTTCACATTTGTATTTAGATATATACCTAAATACAAATGTGAAGTATTTTACTTCTCTATAAGTTTTTTAAAACATTATATATAATTTCGTCAAAGTATCTTTCTATTTTAAAAACTCCTATACTTTATACAAAAAATGTGGCAACTTCGATGCCAAGGTTATGTTCATTGTACTCAAATTCAATTTAGCCTTATAATTATTATACTCTGTATGGTAAATTACATAGAAATTCATTATAGTTACCTTGGTTCTGGTGATTTATGGTAAATATTTATTGGAACAGTTCCTTTCCTCAAAATAACCCGTCCACTTGGCTGTATAATTAGATCATGCTTTTTAAAGTGTTCTGAGCAGACCGTAGCATTTTTTGATATGTGTTCTTTGTTTAAGCCAAACACAGACAACCACATATCGAACAGCAGTTGATTCTTTACTGGGAACCTGCATATATTTCATTGAAATTAATATATTTATAGCAATTATAGTGTAGATTAGAAAAAATAAATAAATGTATTTATAATACTACAAAATTAAACTTCAATTCATGTCAAGCATTAAGTAATATCACATCCCTGTACTACGCCCATGTACATAATTTCGATGTTTATAGTACTTACAAATGAAATGACAGTTCTGGATGTAAATATGAAGATTTCTTGCATACAACACAGTAACGCACCATTATTACACTTAACTATAAACTATTCTTCAATTCTAATTTAAAATATATTAACAAATTCATTAAAATATCACAAAAAGGAAATTATCAACTTAAACGTAAACAATAACAACGCCATCTTCTTTTTCGCCAAATCGCTAGGATTGGTTGATATTACCAATGATGCCAAGTTTTACAAAAGTTAAGATTATCAGAATATATTTTCTTTTAATAAATTAAAAAATTAATTTTTTTCTTTTAATTCCTTGGTTGCGAAATGAGTATATCTAAAAATAGTTTATACTAAGTAGATAATACATTTTTACTTATAGATTAAAAATAAATTATACTAAAAATCGAAAATTATTTCGAAGATTGACTCGGAAAAAAAAAATAATATGACAACGTCAAATTAGGGATTTGTGCCTATGACTGTGAATATCTCGTGACTTCAAGTAAATATGTAAATAGACCGGTCCATCTTTATTTATACGTCCATGGGCTAATGGATTAAGTCCACCGTCAAAGGAAACCGATAGCACACATACAACTTACTTTAGGAGTATTATATATGTAGATATTCCCACATTGAAACTCATCATATTTAAATTGTGTACCAACAAAACGAACACAAAATTTTCGTAAACCAAACTGCCAAAAACCAAATTATTTTATTGTAACGTTTATAATTAGTTCTATTTTGTACGTCACTGGTTGTCAAGGCCCAAACGTCCTTGTCTGTACTTATTCTCGATTCGCCTTGCGGTTTACCAATTTGTCCACGACATCTCTAAATAAACTTGCAAGGAATTTAAAAACAAAGATATGAAAATTGTATTATTTTAATGAAACTTGTCTTTTGCAGGAGGAATGTTTTTTGCATCTTGAGGCGCCCATTCAGCGCGTCACGGGTTTCGACACGCCGTTCCCGCACGTTTTTGAGCCTTTTTATTTGCCAGATAAATGGAGATGCTTTGCCGCAGTACAAAAACTTGTAAATTTTTAAAATAAATCATAAATAAATATTTTTGTTTTTGTTTTCTTCTAATTTTATATGGGAAAATATATTTAATAAAAAAGTTTACAAAAAAAAATAAAAGAATTATAGAAAAGCACATATAGAAAAGAACATTATGAACTAAAAGTAACTATGCCTATTAAAATCAATCATTTCTTTTCGAAAATTTATATTTTGGTGGACAATTTGGTGGTTAGGTATGTCTTTTATTTTACAGAAGTAGTCACATTAACCTCTGAGGTTATTTGAGGAACATACCGTATAATGGGGTGAATCGGATCGCTGTGGTGAATAGGATCAAAAGTACGGAATGTGTTAATTAAATCCACAATGTTTAAATAACGCGCCAAAACCGTTCCATTTCAGCGTGATGGGTTGCGATCATCATAGTCGCGTAAAGGTTGGTGATATCTCGACATGCGCAGCATGTAATACTGAAGGTCAACACATAACCTAAAAACATTGTAAGTCACGTATTTTTGAGCGTACAAAAACTTTGTGGTAATATCCTAAATAAGGAGACGTACATTCAAATTCTGCAGTGTTTGTGGGTCCAATAGGTTAGTAATTATTGTACACAAAGTAATTTTTGTTCATTTTTTATTCCATAACAAACTGGAAAATTATTTGTAATTTGCTGCATTTGTTTTAGATATTTGGGGTGAATCGGATCAATAGCTGGGGTGAATAGGATCGATAGCTGGGGTGAATAGGATCAATAGCTAACGTAAATAGGACAATTAGCCGCTGTGAATAGGATCAAAAACTGGTCTAAATAAGGTTATTCTAGGTATCTACATCTTTGCTCAAGATGCCTAGAGTTTACAAACCTAAAGTTGGTGGGAAAATGTACAAAAAACCAAACCAACATGTCATTGATGCTGCGAAAAAGGATGTCAGTAATGGTTACAGTATAAGACAAGCCGCTAAAAGAAACAATGTTCCTTACACCGTACTCCATAGGCATCTTAAAAATCAAAATGTGCGTAATCAAGGAGGCCAGACTGTTTTAACGGAAGAAGAAGAAAGATATATTGCTGCTAACTTGCTCAAATGCAGTGAATGGGATTATCCTCTTGATACCTTTGATTTAAGAATGCTTGTCCAGCACTATTTAAATAGAATTGGAAGAGTTGTCCCTGTTGTAAAGATAATCTCCCTGGTAAAGAATTTACGTATAGTTTTTTAAAACGACATTCCAATGTGTTATCAGAAAGAATGTACCAGAATATAACACGAGCACGTGCAGGTGTTACGAGGGTGACAATTTCCGAATATTTTGAACATCTATCTAATGAATTGGATGGTATTCCCGCTAGCACCATCATAAATTATGATAAAACCAACCTTTGCGATGATCCTGGCAGGAAAAAAATAATTGCAAAACGAGGATGTAAATATCCCGAACGCATTATAAATCATAGCAAATCATCTACATCAATAGTGTTTGCAGCTTCCGGTAGTGGAGTTTTACTGCCATGTTATGTAGTCTACAAAGCGTTGAATATGTATGATTCTTGGACAACCGGAGGACCATCTCGGACCAGATACAACCGTAGCAAATCAGGATGGTTCGATAGTTACTGTTTTGAGGATTGGATACATTCCATTGCAATTCCATACCTAAAAAAGGTACCAGGAAAAAAAGTATTAATTGGAGACAACTTGTCGTCCCATCTTTCTGTAGAGTCCATAAAACAGTGCTCAGAAAACAATATAAGATTTATTTTTTTGCCGAGCAACTCCACACACCTGACGCAACCTTTAGACGTTGCTTATTTCAAACCATTGAAAGTTGCGTGGAGAAAAATAGTCGAAACGTATAAGAAAGGACCAGGAAGGAAGGAGTGCAGTATTCCCAAAACTGTCTTTCCCAATCTACTGAAACGGCTGCTTGAGTCTATTGAGGCTAACAGTTCTAACAATATAAAGGCAGGGTTTGATAAATGCGGAATAATCCCTCTAAATTCTGATCGTGTGTTGCGTATGCTACCTGTGGAAGGCCCAGAAAATGAAACACAAGAAGAGGAGATCAACAACTCTTTTACTGATATTTTAAAGACTATGCGGTACGATGACAATCAGCCCAGACAGCGCAAAAAGAAACTTAACGTTCCCGCTGGTAAGAGTGTGGCAGTTGATGACGTTGAATCTTCTGATGAAAGTAGCCAACACTTTAGCACTCATGATTCAAATTCAGATATAGATTCCATGTCTTACTCTGAAGAAGACAACGCGTCCATATTTGATGAGAACGAAAAGTTTCTTCAGTCACCAGTTAACTTTGACCAAGAATCTGTAACGAATGGTCTGCATAAAGTTATAAGAAAAGCTACCAAGATTGGGGACTGGGTCCTGGTAAATTTGCCTTATTGAAAAAATGATAACAGACCGGGTACATCGAAATCTTTCAGTAGACTTTATATTTCACAAATTGTAACAATAACTGAAGACGGATATGAGGGAAATTTTTTACGTGAAAAAACTGACACAAGGGATTATTCCGGATATATATATATATACACATTTCCAGATGTAAAGGATAAGTACCTGTTTAAATTTGAACAAGTTGAGGGCAAGCTAGACTCCCCAGAAAGACATGGAAGAGGATCTTTTAGATTCCAAATTAATTTACAGGAATATTCTAAACAAATAAAATAATAATAACCTGTTCAATATTACTTCTTTAAAAAAATGTTCATTTTTGATGTAATTTTTTTAACCTCCTTATAATTTTAAGCCAATTTTTAATCATACCTAACGAAATTATATGATTCTATTAACCACTAAGGTAGGTGAATGCGATTAAACATTAGAAAAGCACGGTCGATCCTATTTACCCCAGTGGCAGGTGAATAGGATCATTGAATAAAAAAAATTCTATAGTGCGCCACTGGGCAGTATACAACAAATTTGCACCGAAAATGATTAATACTGATGTAAACTAATGTTTTGATGTATATAGCTAAATTCTATGCCTAATAATCAGGAAGTTACACATTCCCAAAATTCAAAAATGATCCTATTCACCCCATTCTACGGTACCACTATTAGTAAGCCAGTAACATATCGAAGATAGACCATTCATACATGTGGTTGCTTTTTTTAAGACGAATCACATGCCATGATTATTTTTGATGGATATTCTTAAGTTAAAGTTGATTTCATGTAATCGATTGAACTATCTTACAGTAAACTCCTCCTAGGAACGCAACAGCAATTGTATAATATATATCTGAATTGTCAATATAAATGAGTGAGATAAAATTTAAATATTAGAATTTTTCCCCCAGTAACAAAAAAAAATGGTTTAATTTATTAATGGTTGTATTTTTAAATGGAAATTAAAACATCAATAATAGTTATTTATTGTACAAGACGATATAATTCTACTTTATCTTCGAGAGCGTTCTTTAGCGTCGAGACGTTAGTCGAGACGCTAATTATGCTCGAGAAGATAATGCGGTTTTATCGTCGTGTGCAGTACAACATTTTTTTCTATAACAAGACTTCAAGTTCAGGTGAAAAATAGAATAGCAATTGTGCTGCTCCGTTGCTGGGGATATGAATTACTCTGTCAACAAATGTCAAACAAATGATACGTTTTGGTTTTTGCGGAGAATATTGTTGCGTTTTATGTACAAAGTGAATAAATACGAAATGGACGGAAAAGACTTGACACAAGAAAAGGAAAACCTGCCATCAGATGTAGAAAATGCAGTGTTGGAAGCAGAAAAATTATTGTTGCCACAAAAATCTAGGATGATGTATGAGAAAGAATACCAGTCTTTTAAAAAGTGGAAAAGCATTAAGAATATCAATGGCGTGAGTGAAAAAATACTTCTGGCGTATTTTTCTGAAAAGTCGAAGAAAGCGATACCATCGTCATTATGGTCATAATATTCGATGCTGAAGCGTACGTTGTTGGTGAATGAAAATTGTGACATTTATAAATTCAGCAAGTTAACCACCTTACTAAAAAACCTGAGTGGAGGATACAAAGCTAAAAAGTCCAAAATCCTGGAGTCAGATGACATTATTAAATTTCTGACAGAAGCTGCTGATAACATCTATTTGTTGAGGAAGGTTGAGGGAGGTCTTTAACTACTAAACAGTTGTTATAGCAACACTTTAACATTAGCCATGGAAGAAAATTATTTTAAATTTCAATTGTATCGTATTCCCATTAAAATACTAATTACTTTAAGATGTCACAAGAAAATAGCTTCAGAACGATATCAAAGTTGATGTAGCATGCCTTTGATTTTATTATGTGTTTAAAAATAATGCAACCAAATGGTTGTCAAAGTTAGGAAATTACTTCAATCTCCAGAAAGATATTTGTTAAGCTATAGAAGAAGCTTTAAATTTGCGTTTGATTTAAAAGAATTAAAGATTAAACTCTCTATTCGGTCCGTGCGTGACCATGGTAGGGGTAGTTTGTATAGGTTTTCATTAATATTACATATAAATTAGAGAAAAGAAAAAAATGGATTCGTGCTACTAATATAAAAAAGTAAATAAAATAAAAAGGTAATATGACATAGTTTCATTTTTACGCAATTGAAATAGCAAAAAATTAAATAATGTACCTTAAATGATATTTCATAAGGCTTCAAGCTAACTGCAGCCAGCCTTTTGACTTTAGTTTTTATATTACAAATTTTACTATTATTGTTTTTAATTACATGCACATGAAAAACTTTATTTTCCAGTACTAGATTTTTTCCTTTCTTCACGGTTTTGGTTGAAAAGATAAATTGTGGTGAATTTTTAGAAACCCAATTTTTAATACTACATTTATTTTGTACATAAACTGAAAAAATATAATTAAAATAGTACATTGTTTACCGGGTAGGAAAAGCTTAACATTCCTGGACGACTGTGAAGATTGCTAAGTCGAGGCGCAAGCCGAGACTTAGCAACACAGAGTCCAGGAATGTGGCTTTTCCTACGAGGTAAACATACTATTTTTCCGCGAATCGTTTAAAATTCGACAGATATTGATTGA